CCTGAATGCTACACTGGAACCCATTAGTATCCGTTTCCGCTCGCTGGGGACGTGTTCGCAAAGCTGAACGGAGGCGAGTATTTTTCTGCTCTTGTTCTTGCAGACGCCTATTTGCAGTTTGAAATTGAACCCGAAAGTAGAAAGTTTCTAACAATCAACACGCATCGCTGTCTCTACCAGCACAACCGTTGCCATTTGGAGTCAAAACGGCATCGGCAATCTTTCAGCAAGTCATGGATGCCATGCTGACGGGTGTAACTGGAGCGGCAGCTTACCTGGATGACATCATCATAATGGGCTTGACGCAAGATGAATTATTTCAACGATTGGATGACCTGCTGCTGAGAATCAATGATTATGGTTTCCGATTACGAGCAGACAAGTGCAGATTTTTCCTAATATCAGTTAAGTTTCTGGGTTTCGTGATTAACGAGAACGGCCAACGACCCGATCCCGAAAATATCGAGGTGATAGATCGGTTACCAGCGCCATCGGATGTCACAACCCTACGGTCATTCCTTGGGATGGTGAGCCACTATAGCGATATTTCTACCATGCATGCATCGCTTGCGTCATCCTTTAAACCATCTGTTGATGACGTCGAATGGAAATACTGCACAGTGTCGACCGTCGTTCGAGAAACTGAAATCTCTCCTGAAGTCGGACTTATTGCTTACGCATTATAATCCGAAGCTGTAAATTATTGTGCCCACAGATGCTTCAAGCTATGGAATTGGTGCTGTCATTTCACATCGGTTTCCAAATGGATCCGAAAAGGCTGTAGCACATGTTGCACAAGCGCTGATCGCATCCGAGAAGAATTATAGTCAGATTGAGATAAGTGTTGGCTATCATCTTTGCTGTGCAGAAGTTTTATAAGATGGTATATGGTCGACGGTTCACATTGGTGACTGATCACAAACCGCTTCTGGCAATTTTTGGATCCATAAGGGGCATTCCGGCGTATACGGCCAGTCGACTTCGGCGATGGGCAACTCTGCTCTTGGGATATGATTTCAGCATACGATACTTGTCTACTAATTCTATAGGGCAAGTGGACGCCTTGTCCAGATTAATCAATACCGGTAAGCGTGAGTTAGAAGACGCAGTCATTGCCTCCATTGCAGCCGAAACGGATGTCAGCTACATGGCACATGACGCCGTGAGTAACTTTCAGGTGAATGGCACGATGGTTAAGCAAGCCACTGAACAGGATGCATTGCTGCAAGTGGTATTAACCTACACAAGACGGGGCTTGCCAAAGAGGTATCCGAGAGAAGTTTTCTCAGTATTTCACACGACGCAATTTTTGTCTGAAGTTGATTCCTGCCTGCTTTTTGCAGATCGCATTGTCATTCTAGAAATACTCAGATCACGCGTGTTACGGCAACTACACAAGGGCCATCCAGGAATCACTCGCATGAAGGCGCTTGCGCGCAGCTACGTTTTTTGGCTTATGATGGGTAGCCAAATTGAAGACATTGCCCGATCGTGCTCTAGATGTATCAGTGCCTCCAAGTTACCGGTACGTGCTACATTACGAGCTTGGCCAAACTCAGAATCGCCTTGGTCGCGGATACACATGGAGGAGTGTATTTCCTCGTTATTGTTGACGCCTACAGTAAGTGGCCGCAGGTAATCGCAATGCAAAACGTCGGCAAACAGCACAATCTTTGTGATGAGACATGTTTTCAGTCAGCACGGACTACCAATAACAATCGTGTTGCATAACCGGTCACAGTTGACGTCCTGCCAATTTGCTGAATTTTGCGCGCCTATTGGGATCGAGAATGTGAGGACCGCCCCGTATCATCCGCAGTTAAATGGCCAAGGGGAAAGATTTGTTGATACTTTGAAACGAGCATTGTGGAAGTCAAAAAAGAGGGATCGCTGAACGAAAGATTGGAACGGTTCCTGTTGAACTATCCAGTTAGTCCGAATCCTAATTCACCAGATGGGAAATCACCAGCTGAAGTCCTTATGGGTCGAAGATTGGGAACCACGCTAGATTTGCTGACTCCCAAGCGTCCGCCTCTACAACTAAGAAATTCAGTGATGGAACGCCAATACACCAGGCGGTATGGTGCACGAAAAGGATTTTCAAAGTGGGCGATTTTGTGTTTTCGGCTGCTAATCAAGGACGGTGGATCGCTTGGACACCAGGACGAGTCGTGCGACGCCGAGGCAAGGTGATGTATGATGTTCAAGTTGGTACACAGGTATGGAGACGCCACGCCAATCAGTTGAGGTCGCGGTATACACATGGTGCGGTCGTTCGGAAAGCCAACGGATTTGACGTCAATGAATCCCTGGACAATGGCAAACCTAGTACCTCTGCAGATGGCGACGTTCGTCCCATGCAATGTTTGGAAAATGGAACCGGGTACAGGCCAAAGCGAACAAAAAGTTCTGCAACCTCTCCGGGTGGATCCGCGTCGGAAGAGCTAGCTGACCTCCAGGTACCTCATATTTTAAGAGAGGGAGGTGCTAGGAGAGTAACTATTCGACATTCATTTTTGTGAGCGAACTTAACAGCCATACTTTATTCTTCCTATTTTCTACTTCTTGACTGTTGTTTAAACGTTCCACTGTGTTAGCCCGATTGGTACACACAAATGATTGTTAATGGACGCGCATCTCCGTGTCATCTTCAGCAGTGCCATTTGCAAGCACACATTCCATTGGTTTTTCTCTGCATCACTTTTCTACTTGGTTTTGCTAAAGGAATATTTAGTTATGACACAATTATTGTACTAGTTTTTAATTTTTGTCTTTGCACTTCTTGTTCTCGTTGTTTCGTGACATTTGTTCAAACGCCACGTTTCGTTATTCTGATTGGCCAGTGCCCGTCACTGTAAATGGATGTTCGCTTTACGCTTGGAGTTCCATGATGCTATTTTTAAGAACATATGCGATTCGCTCTTGAGTACGCGGTTGTTCATTCGCTGTTGCATTTGACGTTATTCTTTCTGCTGGATGTCTGAAGTGCAATTTAGTAACTTCCCTTCATTCTGGCTTCAAAATTATATAAGCAAATGTGATTTCATGTGTACAAGTCTCTTTCCGGCTCGTTTTTGGACTTCTTCTTGCGGTTGTGGGGTGAAGACGTCAGTGACGACACAATAACTGTTTTTGCGCACGGTTCTCATATCATCTTTTCAGCCTCTTGCTATGATCTGTATCATTTAAATTTTAACTTGGACTTTTAACTTGGACATCATAAGCTTCCAGCTTGGTTAGCGCACGATAGCAGATAGTCACTCATGCGCACCAACCAGCTCTTAACTCGCAACTTATGCCTATTGATGCGTTAACCAACCAATTGCAGGTAGCTTTCTTGACGAATTTACTATAGCATGTACGGTTATGAATCACGCGTTTAGTGGAACAATCACTCACTCACGTTTATTCATGGCAGTAACGTGCAGTGAAAGCTCGTCAGGCGTAACGATCGGTGACCACCAGACATTTTTCCATTTTCTACCGTCTTAACACGAGACAAATGTCCGCCATTTAGTCGTTTGAGTTGATTGGAGGAAGTCTACCTCCATTTGTGCCTTACCAAAGCTGTGTTCTCGAATATATCTCGTTTCGTTAGAGTTTATTGCGTTTGATTCTCATCATGGTGGATAGGCGGGGTGAAACAACCTGTTGCAGATTCTTTCCGCTTGGTTATCCGAGAGGGGGACACATGAAGAAGGAAAGTTCATGCGTATCTTTCTATACCGATCGGATTTCGTTTCATCAAATGGTAAATACCTGAAAAGCTCTTCTTTCACAGGCGAAACGTAATCGTAATACAGACCCTCTTGAATTTTTCGCTTCTCCCAAGCTTAACTGTTGCCGAGCTTCTCCATTGACTTTCTTTTTTACTACTCTGTACTAAACACACACTAGTAGACGGTCCCACTTGACTTGGTGATTTTTCTCAAAGCGCATGACGACCGGCAAAAAATCGTCATTTTTATATTTCCGGACCAAATACCTTAACGACTGTGATACTTACTGAATATCTCAACCGTGTCCACATCGTATGGTTTACTGTGCTCTACCCTCATTTCTCGTGTTTCGAACGATCTACATCTACCGGGAACACTTTACCCATCTTGCAATCTGTGGCTTAAAAATGTGGGACTCTGGCAGAGGAACGTACCACGCACTACGTGAAATGACACCATATCAAGCACTTCTCCCGGCGCTCAATGGTCTAGTGATCGTGACGTTAGCCGTCAATCACCATGTGCCTGCTTCCGCTGTCAGATCAAACTATTTCTTCCTGATAAGTCCAAACCAGGACGGAACCATCGGTCGTGGAGTGCAGTCATGGGAGAGAGCCACACCGAAACCTTCCACCATGTAAAACTATTTCTTCGTATTGGCTGTAGATGCACGGTGATTATTGTTACCTTGTCAAGCGTTGCCAAACTCTCAGCTGGACCTTTTGGCGGCTTCTCCTTTCCCCTGATGTTGCAGACAAGCCATACTTGGAATTTACCATAATGCACACATGACCGCTTTCATAGTGTGCACTGGGAGTAGAGGACGCTTTGGTAGGTGCATCCCGGAATCGATTCTATTTGTTAAGTTTACCAGGAGAGTATAACCAAGCTTACCACTTCTTGCCACTGTTTTCCCGCATCAGCTGCTACTAGTATGTAGCAAGCTTCGAGTCGGTGAGTCGTCGCCAGAAGACATCGGATGACGACATCCCTTATTGCACGAATGCATTAGTGAAACCGGCGACAATTGCAGTTGTTGCCGGTTGCGTCACCGGCTGGTTTCATTCGGCCGGTGCAGACTCGATAGCTGGGGTGACCAAAAGCAGCGATACGCTGTGTCTTGGGCCGCTCGAAGTTGGCTTCCTGTTCAAACACTTTTTCTTTCCAGATTTGTCGTTTGTCATCATTGCCTTTTGTCTAGCCTGTTTATCGCCTAAGTTGCTGACCCGATGTCCAACTAGCTCCTCCTCACTTTCTATTTCCTCATGCATCCCTTGTTAGATTGTCGTCGTGGTCAGTCACTGGTCGTTCATGCCATCAACGAAGGGCGTCAAGCTGCCCGCCAGGTTGATCTGGATTTGATGGGCAGTACTCAGCTCCCGGGTCCCGGTGGAGTCGTCCGTGTGTGCAGCTAAAAACTACGACGAAGCCGGCTTCTCAGGGACGACTAACTCATTCGCATCACAGTCATTTCTCGTTCACACACCCACATACACATTCGCTCTTCGTACTCGATTTCCACTATTTATTTTTGTTTCATTTTTGTAAACCTTCCTAACTTTGTCTGCCCCACTGTCCTTTATTTGAGTCATCTAGCGCATCTCACCACGCATCTCACCCTGTGCCCACTTCTTATGTTCACAACTTTTTATTAGATATCCACACATCTTTCCAAAAGGCAATTGATGGCGATGATGATCACATTAACTACAATATCTCTCTTAGATTCCAAAACCCCTCAATTGCTGTGTACCTGCCAGTTGTTTTACCCACGGCATTTGTTAATCGCCTCTGGCTACGTTGCCACTTTCGCAAAATGCTGCCATCCGTTTTACGTAGTTGTGCCAACAGATGTGTTTCAGCATTTGTGCAGTTCCATGTATTTTCAATTTTGAACGGCTTGATTACGAAAAAATCCACCCTTCCTCCCTTGTGCTCTCTTTCTCTTTCGGGTCACTCGAGTGATAGTGGCGAATTATCAGACTGCGATGTTCTGTTCGAGCTACTGTATTGGGTGAACTGATCGGCAGAAATCACGGGCCAACTGTCCGTTTCGGCGATCTGCATTGGCCGAATTTGAAGCACTCCACCTTGTGCTGAGCCTAGAAATGTCCCTGTGACGGAGGCCTAACCTGAGCCTTTCAAAATCTCAGTAGGTTCACCTAGTGTGAGATTAGTGACAAGATCCAAGGATGTCAAACGCTAAGCTACCAAGCCTAAGTCATCGATGCTACTTACCGAGCGAGGTCATTCTAGAGTTCCATGTTTTTGTCTTAGTTGTTATGATATACTACTCAGAACATGCTTTTTTGACTCCTGAAACCATGTTTCAGCATATTCTGTTCAACAACATTTCGTTTATTTAGTCTACTTGTAGTAAAAGTGAAACTTAGTTGATACAATTGCGATATGGGGCCTTTTGAAGATCCCTTGGTGAGAAGACGAATGTCAAATCACGAAGGGGCCTCGACAAGCCGTTCGTTCCTCTCTTGTTTTCCATGGCGTAGCAAATTTACGAGCCACTTAAAATGAACTATCAGATGGTCTGCACGTTACGGTCAAGTACCGATCAAACAACTGCAATCGTGGTGGACCATTCACTCTTGTTCGGTTGTCTGCGCCGCAATCTTGTGCATTTCAGGTAGAGTTTTACATCTAAAACTCAAACTAGTCAATGAAAAACGGTTATCTCAAGCAATGGCAATCAATCAATGGGTAGTGCAGCCCAAGTATGTTGTCTTCACATAGGTGTGCACCCAGACTTTTGAGGAGCAATGGCATAATGGTCACTCCGCCGTTCAAAGTGCCCTTAGTGTTTCTATTCATGCCATGTCTCTTTTTTTGTGCCACAGTTGGTCATAAAGTACGTACGCTGTCACAGAGCACCATTGAGCGTCTTACCTCGGATGGACCGCCGGCGGTGCGTCTACTCCATAGGATTCCTACTCTAGATGAACTGCTCCGGCACATCAACAAGTGTGCCATCCTCGGCGAATTCGTGTACACGTATTGTCTACGGTCAGGTCGAGTTCACTCACCCAAATAAAGGCATCAGCCCTGAGAGTACGGAAAACCAAGCCCTAAACCATAGTAGCGAGGTTTAGGTGCAGTAGTAGTATACTGCTGAGTTTCCATCGCACAGTTGGGCACGCCACACCGTGATACTCGTACTAGTTTGTGATGCTTTGTTGTACCCACACAGAGAAGAGCTTCTGGTATCTCACTCACGGTTAGTCCTCACTATACCAGTGCTCCATATCAGTCACGCACATTTTAGTCAGCGCTCACCCGTGGATCATACGACCCAAAGCGTCCGGGCAACATCGATCATGGGTCTGCAAACTGCAACATTCCATCGGTTGGTATTAAGATTACTAGTAATCCGACGATATTCAAGTCAAATTAAATGGATGTATTGTGTGATTGAGTCAGCGAGTGCATTCCACTACGATGAAGCTAAGATAGCAGTCATCCCGCAAAAGCTGCACATAATTCGGTACATGCCATCGGAGCCCTCAGCCATTTGCCTAAACTCGTCAAAAGCGATAGGGCGTCCGACGTTCAGTGCTGGTTCGTCAGTAGCTCGCATAATAGCGTAACTCATATTCTTCTCCTCTGCGCCCAGCAGCCAATTTTCACTGAACATCGTGGCCACCAACAAGCATCGAGCCACCCCTCTGTCTTGCGTAATCAACGCGAGGTCCGCATGGTTTATCGTCAACAGCAAATAATAACACCATTAGTGCAGTCGAGCAGACATTTTTGAGCTAGAGCCTGAACCGTCTCCTATAGTGTGATTCGGGACCATTCGGATGGAAAATACGGTTCGCTTTCACGTTCACCGCCCACGAATCACCACCATGTCGGCTTACACTGCCCGATGCCGAGCGGCGAAACGCACAGCGATATATTGGTGGGTGTGGGATGGGATTACCCACCACGAACACAGATACGATCAGGTAACTACATCTGGCACAGGCACAATTGAAGCTCAGGTGCGGAGTTTTGGATCATTTTTTCCGCCTTCCTTCGGTTTATAGTGACGGATGCGGTAGGTTCATAATATCTGTCCCCATCCAGACCGGAGCTCCTAGAAGCGTGCTGTGTGTACGAACCCTGAACACTACGCGAAACCGCACTCTCTAGTTGTCCCACCCACATGTCATGTTGATCTGCTGATTCTTCAACGAGGGTGCGGGTCACATCATATAGACGGCACTGTTTGTGGCGGTAGGTTGCGTCTAGTGTGTAAGTAGTGGGGTAACAAGTGGATCGCCACATGTAATGTCAATATGTACTGCGGCTCGCATTGAAGTAAACATTGGTCAATCCGATCACTGGGACCTTAACTGATGAAGCAGATGGATGTTGTGTATTGCCCGCCCGAAAACAATGCACTCTACGACAGGTTTTGAACTTATGTGATCTAATCAAGTAGAGATAGCAGGCACTTGGACAGGCAACACCTAATTTCCATCTGCTTCCGCTATTACGGTCCTAGTGATCGCATTGACCAAGGTTCGCCTCAATGTGAATCGCGGTCTACACTGAGAATGCGCGTCTCAAACCATTCACACAAGCAGTACTTTAAAATGACCCACCAAACAGTCATTCACTGTCATGACAAGTGCTGCCCACCGTTAGTCATTGGCTAAAGGGGTAGAGGTCTCGGCTCACATCCCAATAGTCCTGGGTTCGAGGCCTTCTATCTCCACTTGATTCGATCGAATAGTAGGACGGGAGACACATAATATCCATCTGCTCCCCGTGGGCACCAATTCTAGTCACAATGTTTATCGCGCAGCCCTCTAAAGTCTCGTTCACATACCGTTTGAGTATTGATATAGGAGTGTGGCGTGCTGTCAAGTCAGGTCTGAATAAGCTTTATGCACCAGATTAAGTTCATTTCCAGCGATTGCACTGCCGCGGAATATGCACGGGAAGACAATATCGAGGAGAATACAACAGTGAGATTAAAATAAGACAACTACGCAACGGTTGAATCGACAGGCAGCTGTGGCCGATACATGTTACAGCTTAGCCCGTGCCGAACTACAACTCTCAGTATGACGCATTATTCGATTTGTGGCACAAGAAAACAGATTACATCAGTTTCGGTAGCACGCAAAGTGTATTCAGCGTAGCGGTGAAACTCTTCAATCAGTGGTTAGCTTGGCGTTAGACTGATGCACACTGACTCCGGTAAGACCGCACAATATGAAGTAAACGTACTCGCGGATGTCACAATAAGGTAAGACGGGGTTACGATATGGCGGAGTATGTGACGATGAACGAGTTGGTCGGCTGGAGCGTCCCCGAATCCCATCAGTAGATAGCGGGATAAGACATGCTAGACAACTGGGATGGAAGCCATCATCGACTTCTCAGATGGAACAGCTGTGTCTGGAAACAGTCACATTTCTGATGACGTGGCACAGACGTGTTTCTGAAGATAAAGCGGTTTGGAGATTCTCACTGCATCCCTATGATTTACTTGCGCGCAACAAACACATCCTGGAATGTCACAGCGCACGTGGTCCAGTGTGGGCAAAAATAGCTACTCACTCAACGGGATGACTGCCAATTCAGCCATCTTCTGGGTTGAAATTTTCACACCCGGAACAGTCTCGTCGTAGACAAAACGCAAGGGACCTTATGAAATTATAATCACAGGGTCGGTGTAAGTTCCGCTACATATGCACGTTTATCAATCGTCTAATTCACAACTACGTGGTGCTACCCATGGCTGACAAACGAATCTGAGCACGCTAAGGCAATTTCATCGATGGTGATTGGATACCCACTGAATGACCATTAGCGTGTCGGTGAATTGCAATCAACGAGATGTCAGGGCTAAACGTAAGATATACGCCTCAGTATATTTCAACCAAACTCAGGTAACGTGGAATGACCAACCGCTTTGGGGGGAAATGACGTTTAGCCAACCGATTGACGGGCTGCGGGAATGCCCGTCGTGCCAAATTGACTGTCCCTGTCCTTATGCTGACTCCAATCCTTACCCTACTCATAGTAGTAGTGTATTTCCAAGTACATTACGGCTTTTTAGAATACTCCCCAGTTGACCAACCGAGCTGGCCATTGCCAGATTAGATGGCGTAACACGATGTATGAAATGTGCCCCCCATCCGATGAAATTATAAAAAATGGGTTCACCTCTTACCAAAAATCCGGTAAGAGATCAGCCTACCTGAATCCCATCGCTCTCAACGGTAAGGATAACTCCAATGTACTACAAAACCCGCTTGAATTCGCGAGCAAGTCAACCCCATGGCTCTTCATGTATCAAAAATCAACAACCAAATGCTTCGGTCCGCACAGTTCAATAAATTGGTGGTGTTCAACAATGGTGAAGCCATCAGCTTGGATCTGAGTTTGAATGTCTGCCAAAATAGCCCAAACCAGAAGGAAACGGGTTATAAAACCTGGAATCGACAGCGACCAACGGTAGAAATGTTCCTACTTCGAGTGTAGCCGCAATGACCGGAAGTACCGAGATTAAATACAGTGGATGTACATGTGGGGAAGGCAACTCGAAACTAGCCAATTTTCTGGCCGGTTGGAGGTGCTTTTACACGCAGCCGTGTTTGACCTGCCGTGATTATCCGTAGTCAACTGAACGAGCTTCTTAGCCACAGAAGCTCGGACACTGTAGTGCTGAGCGGGATCTGAACGCTCAAGTCAGAAAATTATCCACAGATGAACTGCATCTGGGCGGCCAGCATGGTATAGGCTCCCGTAATGATAACGGTGAGCGGTCACTTCATTTATGTGAGGATGCTCGCCTATTTCTTGCGAGCACTAATTTCAGACACAGCACTCACCGGAGGGTGACTTGGCGCCCACCAGCGTCGAACCAGCTATGGACGCAAATCGATCACATTGCGATAAGTTACCGATGGAGAAGCTGCGTCCAGAACTGTCGCTCGATTTGGAGCACATGTTTAGACACCGATCATGCACTTGTATGTGCTGACCTGCGGATGCGTTTTGGCGGACGCCCACGACGACGTTGTGAGCGCATTGACACCAGCCAACTGGCGAAGCCAGCTGTTCTGAATGCCTATCAAAGTACGCTGTCATGCGAGTTGGATAAACGCTCACTGGATGCAATTGAAGCTCACTGGTCTCATATTCACCAGTCCTTACTAGCAGCAGGTAAATCCTCATGTGGTATATCTAATCACCATGGGCATTGGGTCCCTTCACAGTCTCTGGAACTTATAGATGCTCGCCGGCATATTCCGGCTGGAAGCGAACACAATGAAACTCGCAAAGAGCTCCGGGCAAAACTCCGTGCTAGCCTCAAGAGAGACCGCGAATCCTGATGGTCTCATCGTGCATCAGGGATGCAAATGGCCGCTGCCCTTGGTAACCATGGAACGTTATTCCGCCTGATAGGGAAACGGGCAGCAGGAGACCTGGTGTTAGTGAAACTATACGTGACGAGAGTGGACAGCCTATCCATAACTTATCAAAACTCTTAGAGCGTTGGGCTGAACACTGGAAGGCAATTTAATCGGTCGGAATGGTTAGATTTCTCGCCGGCCACTGATCGCCCCGTTTCGTGGGCTGTCCCTTTGGATGCACCCTCTCGCTCAGAAGTCGAACATGAGATCGGACTGTTGTAGTTAAATAAAGCCGCGGGACCTGATGACCTTCCTCCAGCCCTCTTCAAATTCGGGGACCTGCTCTTTTGGATGATTTATACGAGTTACTAGTGAAACTGTGGGAGCAGGAAACTGTCCCAACCGACTGGAGCCGCTCCGTCATAGTCCCAATTTTCAAAGGAGGCTCACGATCGGAATGTGGCAACCATAGAGGAATCAGTCTGATCTCCATCGCCTCCAAATTGCTTGCCTCTGTCATCCTTCACAGACTGACTGGCACTCGTGAAAGTCAGATTCGTGAAGAGGAAGCTGGATTTCGTCGATGTCGTGGTTGCATTGACCACATCTTCACTTTGCGTCAGTTGTTGGAGCACCGTCACATATATTGGCGGCCCACCCTTGTCGTGTTCCTGGATATCAGAGGTGCATTCGATTCGGTAGATAGACATGCACTTTGCGACTGTCTACTCAGGAAAGGTGTGCCTGACAAATATGTGGATATTATCCGAGCATTATTTGCTCCTAGCTCGGGCAGAGTGAGGGCTTACGGCAAGTTGTCGTCGCCCTTTAATATCTCCAGCGGCGTGAGACAAGGATGCCCGCTGTCACCTTTCCTCTTCAACTTCGCTGTTGACGAAGTCATGGAAATCGCGTTTACGGGACACGACTTAGGTGTGGATTTGCTCCCAGGAGAACAACTTCTTGACTTAGAGTATGCTGATGATATTGTCCTAATCTGTGACAGCTCACAAACGTGTCAAGCGGCACTTGACAGATTAGCACTAGCTGTCCGTCACTTCGGGCTTTGCTTCGCACACTCAAAATGCAAAGCGTTCCTCCAAGATTGCTCTGGACCGCCTACTGCGCTGACCGTTGGTGGGGATAAGCTAGAAGTCGTTCAAAAATTCAACTACCTGAGAAGTTGTATCAGCGCCCGTGGGATTGAAGATGAAATCACGAACTGTATAGCAAAAGCTCGGGGCGCTTTTGCTAACCTTCGTTACTTATGGCGCTGGCGCGACATCACACTTGCCCTGAAGGGTAGAGTGTACAATGCAGCGGTACGTTCGACCCTACTGTACGGTTGTGAAACCTGGCCGCTTAAAGCAGCGGACCTGAAGAGGCTAGTTACGTTCGGCCATCGGTGCCTCCGTAATTTAGCTCACATTTGGTGGGAACACCGCGTGAGCAACGAGCGTGTTCGACGCCTTGTTTATGGCACAGGAAAAGGAAATGAACCGCTCAGTACCGTTATTTCACGCATCAGACTCCGATGGCTCGGCCACGTGTTACGCATGCCAGCCCACCGACTCCCGCGACGTGCGTTGTTTTCGTGCAGGGGTGTGGATGGAAGAAGAGGAGGGGTGGCCAAGCGATGACTTAGTCGAGAGGAATGAATTCCCTCACTTCTGAGCTGGCCTTGGTTGGAGCGTCTCGGCTCCCTGGTTGGGGTCCGAAAGACGATGAACACGTTTGGTTGGACACACTTGCTGACATGGCAAGGAGCCGACCTCAATGGCGTTCGTGCTGTGAGTTTCTTTGTCCCACCCCACCCCTCTTAGCCCCTTCTCCAACCACGATCTCATTAGTTAGCCTTATATAATTTTGCATAGTAATTTTTTTGATGCATAGTAGCCGGCCGGTAGCTTACCGGAACGATGCCCATCTGTTACCGGTAGCTCAGCCGGTTTGCAGCAGTTGTTTTTCTTCTCTTTTTTTTCTGTGTATTGCGGCACGGTAGCTGAAGTGTTCCCCACCTCTAGCTAACGTGTATGATGATGATGATGATGAATATCCGTCGAGTGGCAATCGCAGGTTATTACGCCTCATCGCCTAGACGGAGGACCCAATATACTTGTTCACCAGGGACGAACACTCCAAAGAATGGGACAAAACCAACACATCTGATCACTATTACAGAGGAAGCCGAAGGTAGCGATGTGGAGCAGACGGTATTATGAGACTTGTTCAGAGGACCACGGGAGAAAACGCAACATAAATGTATATTTCAATCAGATTGTCGGGAAACGCAAGGAGCTGTCGATGAAACTAAATTGCACGAACCGGGCACAATGTCAGTTGCGGGGATAAAGCGGACGAAGATGGTTGAGAGGAGACGCATAGATCCAAATGGGAAATATTCCACAAAAGCGGTAGGCCAAAAGTTACATATAATGTTTCCAATGGGAAGTGTAAGGCGGTAGACATCACGAATTAGATATACAATGACTTGTCGGGTCGTTTACTATGAAAGGGTACAGTAAAGGGGGCAGGGGAGTCAATTCACAATCAGGTTATAAAGGCGGGTTGTCTTAGTATTCGAAAAAAGTTTAGACCACGTATTCCCGAGTTCAGATGAACTGTCGCCTCTTCGAGTACCTCGTTAGCAGAAAGATGGCGATGGTCACGAAAGTGAACTGAAATGATGGAAGAAAGAAGTTGTAATGTGTCTGATAAATCATGAACACACAAGTTGTCCCTAGTGATGGTATGGAAGGTTAATGAACCAAGAGCCGTACGTTTTCTTGGTCCTCCATAGATCTCTCAAAATGGTCCTAAACGCTAGGAAATTGCCCCCAACGGGCGCGAGGGCCTCTGAATTCCACTGTTCGTGGAGTGACCAATCCCAAGCCAGCCAATAGCATCCCACTATATGTACTCAACCGTTTTACCATCGGCTGATTTGGCATTGGCCACTTAATGTACATTACGCGTTGTTTTAGAAGTGTTTACGCCCGTTGGATGCAATTTGCTAATGTTAAGGACCATTTGTGAGGTCTATGGTGGAACACGACTTTCTTAAGGAATTTGAAAGCGTTATGCGTGCAACTGTTTGGGGAAAGGTGTAGTGGGTTAATCGGAGACCGTTCGGGGCAACGGCTTTGTAAGGTAGCGAGGACGAAGGCATTGCAGTCTAACAAAGCTAAGCATTAAATTTGAGAGGTGTGCATGACTGGCTCGATTGCATTGTTACCATAAACAAGGGTCTTCCGGTTAGTAATAAGGTCGTTGCGAATAACGAACCCAATCTGGTGGAAAAGAAATGTAATCAGCGCAGGTCCGTCGCAGTAAACACTCACGAACTTGCGCTCAGCTTGACCCAGACTGACGCTGAACGTCCGGAAAACGTGACCAGACCATGTCACTCGATCCAGCAGGACGCAGTAGAAAAACGGTTTGAATTTGTGCTGTGCAGTATTAAATATCCATCGGGCACACGTAGTGCTTTTTACAAGGTGAATTGAGAGATTAAATTGATGAATAACATCCGCCACGTGCTGGGTGCAATCGGATGTGATTACAGGGACGAACGAAAAGGAGGGACACCAAGGGGAGTAAACTTATGGTATATGATCCAGTCACTAAGGGAAGCTGGGAGAATTTAGTGCTTGGTGTTGTGAGATTCTCGTTGTGTGAGTGAGTGTGTGTGTACTGACTGCGGCAGGCAATCTCCTATTTGGCCACGATTTAAACTGAAGTAAACCCGGATCGTTTCCATCACTGGCACCTTATCTGAAACGGATAGAGATTTTAACGTTTCTTCGTGCGAACACTGCGTTCCATGGCTGTTTTCCTTCTTAGCTTGGCTCTTCCGTTAGTGTCCTATCCGGAGTGCATTGGCTGTAGGCAGAAACATCCGTCATTACAGCTTCATCACCACTAACACCACCACATCCCGAGTTCAAGAACTGCAATTTCTACCCACAGAGTCCAAACATAAATGAACCTGAACGTGAAGTGATTGTGTTGGAACCCAGCGCTCCTATCACTGATCTTAGCTGACGGAGATGATATGGTACATGTTATGTGAACCTCAGGTTCTGCACAACGCCTCTCGTGTTCGGCCGTGCGCACCCGACAAATCAGAGGTAGGATTTAGTGCGGCAGTGAAATCAGAACCATTGTCCAAATGAAACTCTTACCACATCCCAAAATCCAAAGGATAGGCTGGGATAGAACTTCCCGAAACACAGAAGCACATTATAATTTTTACAGATTCTTATGAAAAAGGTTGTATAAATTTAACTACTTAAGAATAGTTTCTGCAGTTAGCAACAAGTGCGTCAAAACATGTAGTTTGCCCCGAAAAGTATGTTCGCCGGCAAAGCGGATAAGGAGAATGGTTTAGAAGGCATAAAATGTCACACGAAACAAAAAAGGCTTGCTGCTAGTCGACTACATCCAGTTTCATGCAAACATTTGGAGCATCAATTTGTGCAGGCCATTGACGACAACAAAACCCCAAACTACACTTGAGCAACGGCGCAATAATATTACCTTTGACGACACCGATTAGTGAGAGGAGGGGAATGACGCATTGTGACCAGAGCAGTAGCTATACAACGTAAATAATGTGTGAAGTTTGCTGCCCAACAACACAAAACACCCCACGGAAACAGCCAATTCACGCCGTTTTACTCCGGGACGCAGTACTAAAGGCAGCTGCTTCCTTCGCACCGGAAAACAGAGTCCAGGAGTTCAGATAGGAAATATGTGCTATCTGTAAATTATAAGATGGATCTCACGAGAGACTCGCGATAAAGGCGTTCAGAGGGTTAAAAGTATTCAGGTTACACAAGTCGTCTCCCGGTATAGACGGTAAGGCCACCGAATTGCCCATTTATACACGGCCAATAATTTACAACCGACTATTCGATGGTGTCTCTGCAATGGATAGGTTGCTCAAACACAGAAAACAGACTTTCGCCTCTGATAACGGTTCACTGTCCAGAGTCAGAGAAATTGTACTCGCGAACATTCATGCAGAATTTAAGGTCAGAACCACCGTTTTTCGCCGGTGACTTATGATCTGATCTACAAAACAACTGAAACGGAAAGCATCGCGCAATAGGTGATGAATTAGCAACAATCTAACTGAGCATCACGTTTACAAACCAAATTTTCGACAACTCATCAAACGATGGTGCCTGATAACACCCTTCATGCTGACAGCCACATTGTCATTTTATCGGAACAATGCAATGAAACACGTATATTTATGAACCCGATGTGGACGAACAATTAAAATCTCCATATCGAGCCGATTCCAAATGTGCCAGCACTAAAGGACTGCGCAGTTGTGACCCAGCAAAATCTTGCCCAAAACGAGCGAAACCATGGGCGTTCCTCCACACAGTGATTTTACTGGTGAGTGCCTCCACTAAGTGGTCGAAAATCTTCTTCATGGGCTCGACCATTAGGACCACAACAGCTGTCAAATTGTGATATTTGCATTCCCTGGACGATATTGTACGATAAAAGCACTTAGCCCACATCGCAGTTGTTTTCAGATCTCAAGAAAAGATGAAACACTATGCAAATCAGGGCATCGCAGTTTCATCATTCACCATCCAGTGGGCGGGTAGAGAGGTTTATGGACACAATCAGGCCAACGTCGCTGAAGTATAGGGAGAAAAGAAATGGCAGCGTAAATCTCGGATACATTCTTACTGAACTACGGGCGTACCACAAACCCAGCGTTCAACTGCTGCTCCCCAAACGAATATGTGAGGAACAGGCAAGTACGTCTAGCGCACGATGTTATCCGATCTATTTTGAGACAGTGGTCGACTCTCATTCGTAAAAAAATGAACGTTACGACCGGATGGCTGTGTACCGGTCCGAGACAGTCCATAGGGTCATCAAAAGTGCGTGTTTAGGTTGATTCACTGCTGCGTCTATCAAATTCGATGGGTGATTTGTCGGGTCACAAACATCCATGTTACTTCAGTAAGTCTTTAGCTTCTACTGGATGCAATCGAATTCAAAAAGCCCGCTAACGCGGAAGCAGTTGCAAAAGTGTTGACAACGGCCGTTGTGGCACCAAATTCAAGGTTCCGTTCCCAGGTGACTCAATGCAGAAATCGCACACTAAAGTAACTAGAGCTAGTAAGGTTCACATTCTGAAATGTTACCATCATCATCATTATACACGTCAGCTAGTGGGAAACACCTCAACTACTGTGCTGCAATACATAAAAGAAACAAGGGGAAAAAATACAACAGATGGAAGCCAGCTGAGCTACCAGTAACGGATGGGCATCGTACCGGAAAGCTACCGGCCGGCTACTACGCAGCAAAAAAATTTATCATGCAAAATCATATTATGCTAAGAAATGTGATCGTGGTTGGATGGATAAGCTAAGAGGGATGGGGTGGTGTTGCGTGCCGGGTTCTCCTAGCCGTGTCAAGGGAAAGAACTCACACCGGCCCTGCACACAAGCGTTCTATGCACAATTCTGAGGTAATGTACAACTAGCGGTGATTTTAAAAACGCACCAGCCCACTCGATTGATCGCCTGATCGGCCACACTGAGGCAGGCGATTCTCTTCGCCTCAGCTTTCAGCCACTATCACATCTTTTCCTTCTTCTTTTTTTCGTTGTCTCGGTGTTGCAGGTTCCGTGTCACATCGGGACTGCGATCTTAGTTGGTTTATTCTGTTGATACGGCTTCTAGTACGAGTGCAGTGGCTGTTCACCACATCACCTTTTCAGCTGCATTCGATAACTTCCCTTTCTTTTCCGACCCTTGGCTGATCTCTTCCGACGCCCTACAACTCTAGGTATCTGTTTAAACCATATTTCATCTTCAGGCGCTAGAGTATAAGGCTGTCTGGGTTCGTATTTGTGACGCGATTTTCGCCGCAGGGAACGTTTTCGAAGACGGTCTTGCAGACGATTAGTGGAAATTTCTTCGGGTTACAAATGTACGGTGGCTCCAGTATCAGCTTGCGGTCGAACTAGTTTTCCCTGAATCGCCAGTTTTGTATTAGCGCATCCCTCTTCGCCGTGATCTCACTTGTTATTTACTGAAATCCTTTGCGCCTCTTGCTGACTTACACTATCAAGTGACCTAACGTCGGTTGATCGACAGAAACGAGCGAAATAGTCTAACCGGCCTTCACAATTATCACCAAACCTCTCGAGTGTTGTTAGATAGTTTGATTCTTGGTCGTGATCGCAGAAATTCCAGGCGTCTAGTATCCGCATCGCATCATGGCCGATGGCGTACCTGAGCATGGATAACCGATATGGCATAGGGCATTCATCTAACTCGATCCGTGTCGCGAAGTTCATCCACTTCGCTCTCCACAGGCACCAGTTTTTGCGCAGCGAACCCACCGTCATCTGTAATGGAGTCGGCATCGCTACAAACGGTTGCCAGCCAAATCAAAGCTGCTGATTGCTCATCTGGTTCCTCATTTTTTTGTCACCATGTTGCATGCCTAGTTCTCCCAGCCGCATCAAGAGAAAGAACTCACACCTGCTATGCAAACAAACCTTCTACTCACAAGTCTGAGGTAATGTACAACTAGTTGTGAGTTTAAAAACTCACCCGCCCACTCGATCGATCGCTTGATGGACCACACTGAAGCAGGCGATTTCCTTCGTCCCAGCCTTCAGCCACAATCACAGGTAGAACAAAGAAACTCACAACACAAACGCCATTGAGGTCGGCTCCTTGCGATGTCAACAAGTGTATCCAACCAGACGTGTTCATCGTCTTTCGGACCCCAACCACGGAGCCGAGAAGCTCCAACTGAGGTCAGCTTCGAAGTGAGGGCCATTCCTCTCGACCAAGCCATCGCTTGGCCACCTTTCTTCCTCTTCCATCCACACCCCCGCACGCAAACAACGCATGTCACGGGAGCCGGTGGGCTGGCATGCGTAGCACGTGGCCGAGCCATCGGAGCCTAGTGCGTGAAATAACGGTGCTGAGTGGTTCAGCTCCTTTCCATGTGTTGTAACCAAGGCCTCAAGCACGCTTGTTGCTGACGCGTTGTTCTCACCAGATGTGAGCCCAACTGCGAAGGCACCGGTGATCGTAGGTGACTAGATTCTGCTAATATAAGGGGCCAGTTTTCACAATCGTACAGTAGGGTCGAATTTACCGCTGTACTGTACACTCGACCCGTCAGGTAGCTAGGGATGACGCGCCTGCGCCATAAGTAGCGAAGGTTAGTAAAAGCGCCTCGACTTTTGCTATACGGTTCGTGATATCATCTTCGATCCAGAGGGCGTTGATATGACGTCCCAGGTAGTTGAATTTTTGAACGACTTCTAGCTGATCCACACCAAGGGTCAGCGCAGTAGACGGTCCAGACCAATCTTGAAGGAAACTTTTGACTTCGATGGTGCGAGGCAAAGCCCGAAGTGGCTGACAGTCAGTGCTAATCTGTCCAGTGCAGTTTGGCACGTCTGTGAGCTGTCACAGATGTGGGCAAACGCTACCAACAAGTGTGGAACCTGAGAAGCGCAAATCGAGTGAAGTCGAGACTATGGAACACATGTGCATGAAAGTCGCATGAGCCATTGAAAACCATTGGATACGATGTCAGCGAAACCGAAAGAATCCATTGCAGAATGATTGAGTGGGCTTTGTAAAATGCTGCCTCGTATCTGTAGGGCACGGCCCAACGCAATCTCTGATTGTGATCGTGCCGTGTTCATCTGTGCTAGTTTCGTTGGCAGCCAGACACGAAAGAAATTGAAAGGATATTCTCTCCAAAATGTGGGACATTAAAACTCTTAGTAGTGCTCAAGTCTGCCATTCGGGGTTACGTTTACCTATTGGATCCATGTCGATATTTAAGAGTGGGTGAGGAGTTGAGCGGACGGATCTATAAAAGATGGAATTAATTGTAACACTAAAAACAATGGAGAGGGAATCGTCTTCCACACCTTACTCGAGTCTCCTTAACAAACTCGCCAACGAGTATATCAGTTTTCGTCCAGTTTAGCGCACTCGGAATACGGAAAAAGTAGTAGTTCAGCTCAAAGTACGGTGCGCGAATTACGCGCTCTGGTCAGCTAGGAATGTTTGGCGTGTGAAATTGGACACCAGCTCAAGAAAAAACTGGTATCGAAAGTTTGTGCAGCTCTTTCCATCCCGCGGTGCTTGTTCATTACATAGCATTCCAAGTTATCCGTATCGATCGAAAAACAGACCGAATTGCAGATAATACGTGGATCGATAATATTGGAGAGAAGAGCGGCGCTCAGTATCAGTTTGCGTCGTCATTCCAAATAACTGAGTCGTTTCGGGCAACCCAAAGTAGGTGTACACACTACTGCTCCAATTTCGCCCGGGAATGAGGGCGCAAACGTCCAACTATCGTAATATCATGGTCAATGGTTAGGAGAAAATACGGTGAAAGAAAAGCGTATTACAGAGCCAACTCACCGTTAACACGAGCAATCCAATCAGGGTGTACAAGATGTATTTGTACCACTTATCCGCCAGTTTCCACAAGAACTGGAAGCAACCCTGAAGGACAGAGAAAAATAGAACAGCCTCTCATGTACCGGTTTGCATTGCCAATGCTAAGCGTGTTAGAAGCGGCTCTCGAGGTTAGGCAAGAAGAATATGAAAAGCAAGACTACAGGGCATTGCTTGCTTGTAGCGTGTGCGATAACAAAGCATATTGTCCTGGTAAGCGGTGTGAATATGGTTGTCACGGGATTTGGTGAGCATGGTGCAGGAGCAATGATCACCAAGCAGGCGCCCAGCGTCTGATGGCACTTAGCGGCAGATATCAGCGCATGAGCAGGGGCACAGTATCGGATTCCTTTCCACCGCGAAAACGACCCGTCGAGCGTGTTGTATGTCAGTCGAATAAAAACTAAAGCGAACAAGACTACGCGAAAGCAGCAGGTGAACACGCACAGTCGGAATGAATTGTGACGTGGTGAACATCCAAACCGGAACACGGCGAGGTCGACCATAAAACCCGTGTCGCGATCATCATCATCATCAACAGCAGCATATCAGCCATTTGAGCTGATGCTTTCCTGTCATACAACCATAGTGAACTACGGAACGGAGAACAATAAGAAGGAAAGAAGGGGGACTTACTGGAAAAACTCAATGCCCTTAGCCAACACAGGGTCAAGGTGTATACACCTGTCAACAACAAACCATCACAAATAACCGGCTATGGTTCAAAGATGAGGCAGCTTCGATGGGACAGGTTTGTGGCGGCTTTCACTGCCCCGCGTCCTAATCAGCCACTACCCCGCAGATAGCTCATCAACACAGTTTAAACAGTCAATCTGACTAGGAGACAACAGCAGACGTGCCACTGGTGTCGATTGCGAGCGATGTCCTGTAACGTCCCAAGCCAAGCACAGAGCGGGTCATGTGGACTCCGGTTTGAAATGCGAGACCGACCAACGGCACCGAGTTTGGTCGTCACTGTCTTCATTTCCTGCTGCCAAGTCAACTTCTGTCTACCTAGAGCTTTGCGCTACTCTACATCTGGTAAACAAAACAACACCTTCCCTCGTAAGCGGTGACCGGGTATACGTAGTAGTTGCCCATGTCAAAGTAATTTATTCAGTGTCATCTGTTGTTCTAAGGAATGAGCTTGGTTATCACTGTCTAGTACTCGCTTACGCACATCATCGGTGCGGACACGCTGGTGTGCCATCCGACACCAGCAATGTTCCGAAGACAACGATGATCAAAGACTTGAAGGCGCCGCAGGTCCTCAGATGGGAGGGGCTAAGTCTCGCTTCCATAGAGTAGGAAGGCTTTCATTGTGGCCTTGTAAACACGGTCTTCTAGACCGAGAGAAACTCCTTTCGGTCGCAATGCGTGAACTGATTTCACTTGCTACGCACCCATCGCTGTTGATACAACTGCCAAGGTAAGTGAAGTGATCAATTACCTCGAGTTCCTTGCTAACAAGGATCAAGGAGTCAACAAGTGGCTGGCGGTTCCGTAACAGCACTTTGCACTTTGAAGGTGAGAAGCGCATGTCAAGTAATGGGACTACTCTAGAAAGGCTATTCAGGGTTGGTTGCACCGCCCTAACATCGTTAAACAGCAAAACGATATCGTCCGCATAATCAAGATCGACTAGCTTTTCACCAGGCAGCACTTCAGCGCCTGCATCATGAGGCTCCATAAGGGAACACTCTATGGTGCAGTCCACGACGAAGTTGAACAAAAATGGGGAAATTGGACAAAACTGACTAACGCCACTTGTTGTCGGAAAGGCATCTGACAAATCAGTGTAGGCCCTGACGTGGCCTGTCGTATTTGAGTATGGAACATGTGAAATGCACAGATTTCATTGACACGCAAAATCGTGAAGAGTCCCATATTTTTTCAGTCGCAACGAGATTGAACCTTAAGGTGGTATGGAGGTTTGTGTACTTCGTCGACCCATTGGGATATACTGAGTGAGGCCCTTGGGCACTTCGTGAGCTACTCATACCACGTTGGTCAACGGTTAGAGGTCAGATGAACTCAGTCCCTTGGTTCTCCAGGTTGGGAGGTTGAAATAGGATGATATCCGTTTCTGTAAAACCGAATCATTGCCACCTCCCGCTGCCTGGCGGACAGGCTTTTGAGCCAAAAGCTTTGATTGAGGACCCTAATCGTTCTCCTGTCTCTTTCTCGTGTCACGATGCCTCAGCGTGACAAAAGCGCTTCACCACACAGAGGAAGGGAATTGAAAGACACTGAGCTATGATGGTTCCAAACAAAAAATACTGCCAAACACCGGACGATAATTAGGAACGCGATTGCGTATAGGCAGGCAACCGTAGTTTGCAGAGGCCCACATGACTCAAGAGTGTAACAGCTACCAGGTTTCAGTCACCTGTCCGGTCAGAGCAACAAACTCTGAAAATTCTCAGGACAGGAAGAAGTTTAATGCAATCGACATCTGTTTGCCGTTCGCGTAGGCAGCGTTCCACTAATCTGTCGGCTGAAAGATCAATAAGGAAATGTTTTTTTTATAGTCCCTGACGCGCAAACGCATTTAACTTGTCGCTAGCAGGTAACCAGCAACTAATTGTACAATATTTTCCTTTACTTACCTAGAGGTCCAATATTTTTGTTCTAATGGGTTTTCCTATATAAGGACCTACTTTCTGTCTCCGGGTGCAGTTTCCAAATGCCGGTTATCAGAACGCATATACACACTGAACTGTATTGCTAGCGAGAATTTCAACAAATAACAAAATAAGTGATTACAGCAAGATACGCGGCGCTATGCACTTATACAAGAGGATCTTTTTTGTCCTCATTGGATATTTTAATGTGAATATTTGCCTGGCACATTGGTAGGGTGATATTGCTCACGTCTAGAGCCAAAGACAGATGCGATTAGCGCGCAGTGTCAACTGAGGTAGGTACTGCACTATAAACCGAGTTGTCGCTAGGTCGAGCATCAACGAGGAAGATAAAGTGATTTGCCAAGACAACAGCCGGAGCTAACAGGCCAATTAGCAGGAAATCGATTACACTGGAACGACGGACATTAAAAAACAATATCGCATAGACCAGTGTGCCACAATTTCTTCAACAAGAGGCATACAGTTAAAGGACCGAAATCATCTACCTCTAGGCAGATGTCAGTGGAAAAATCGCCACTTGCTGGGCTACTCAAATCAAGATGAATAGCTAAGGTCATAACCCGGTTGGAAGAGATGCCAAAGTGCCTTTATGTGGTGCAACAAGGCAATCAGAGACGATGGTGTATTCGCAAACAATGAAGTGTCGAGGCGGTATTCTTTCAGCTGACCAGACCCAATAATAACGATCTGTGCATTGGGCAACTGGTTTGTATGAAGTGCATTTTGATTGCAGAACTAGAGCAGCCAGCCAGGCAGCGAATAAGTGATCCGGTCACAACCACATTGCAAGGACCAACACGGGTGACATAAGACACAAATGCAATGCAGACTGAGGAGGGTAAAATAAGAGATGGGAAATTTGTCAATGATGGCGCAGTCTATGACACACACACACACACACACAGCCAGAGCGTGGGTAATCGCAAAGGAAAAACTTGTTTTGTAAACCAACGGTACTCACCTGGTTCATGTAACTGTTGCCCGGGGTAGGATACATCCAGCAGGTTCGGTCATTTTGCTCCTTGCAGCAGGAAGCTGGTATTTTGTCTAATTAAAAGAACAGCAGATGACGTCTCAAAGTGGTCCGGATGAGTGCCGCTCTACTCGAGTTTGTAAAAGGATCCATGATTTCCTAGGTTGATACGCGTATATGACGCGTGCTGACCAACTACGTAATTCAAGGAGTCCCGCAGCATTTGGATTCGGCTAAGTCATAATGGCTCATTTAGGAGCACCGAAAGATCAGTGGCTCAAGTGTGAATATGGGAAGAACAATTGCGGGAACACCTCTTTGTGCCCTCATCTTGCCGCGGAGAAAGCCCAATATTCTTTCTCCCGGTGAGTGAACATGGTTATATCAGTACCATTGCTATAAATGATAATAGTACTAATAATTTTTATCGATTTTTCACTAGACGCATCTGCAGCGCATTCAAAGCGGTTAGCAAAACATAGGTACACTAAAACGTGTCACGGAAAAGTTACAATGAAAAAACGAATTTAATTTAGATATCAAAATGGGCGCATTAAGGAAGTGGGAAATTCGCACACCCACTTCTGTCTCGCAATTAATGTTCAATCCCCCCGACCATAACACACAGTAAGCAATGCGGTATCCCATCGATGCATCTAAGATAAACTGGAAGGTCAATTGACAGCACGATTGACTCCATGCCCCGTAAAGCCTTGGATTAAAGACATGCATAGGGTAGTTAGCGGTACAACAAAGCCAAAAATGAGCCATCTACATTGTACGGTACCGTTGTTTTGCATGAATAGAGAAACTTGACTCGGTGGAGCCCAGAGAGTGAAGACCCGAACCCATTATTTTGTACAGCAGCTTGTGAGAATGAAGCGTATGCTACCGAACATTAATTCGATTTCGTCTACATAGAACGCAACTGACTAACTAGCTTTTGCCGAGAATGTGGGCCATCCACGTGCAGGTAAGCGTATCCCAACCGGGCTCACATGTCAAACAGACCATCTGTGCATTGTGTCCCTACAGTAAACCAGTCCGTGTGTGGCATGCCGATAGGTTCGTCACTTATAGTTTTACCTCTTGGGTTCAGAACAATGTAACCACAGCAAATAGACAAACGCGCTGTGACGAAGTCGTTAGATGATCCTTACTAATGGGTCTCGGAATACTCATAGTGTTTGGGCTGCGATAACCAATACCGAGTTAGACGACAGTTTAGCTTGAAGTAGACCGTAATTCTTCCGATCGCTAGAACAACATCCGATGTAAACATCGTTTTGAAGCTGCTTCTTTCTCTCACAAGTGTTTTCGTTCTTCACCAGACTCTTCCGGCAGTCAGATTATTCACTTTCTCACTCGAAGTGTATATATGGGAGTGAGCCACCCTTAAGACTATCATCCTCAAAAACAGGATCCCAATATGTGGACCTCTAGATTCAAGCGAAAGGTGGCCAGACGCTACCATAATGATCGTACAGGTGCTCACAACCTCAATCTAACGTGTGCACAGTATCCCATTGGATCAAATCTCTTCGTTTAGTGACTGTAAACCGACAATAACAGTGTTTTTAGACATCCTAGAATCTTTCTGATCCTAGAGAGAGCCGATATTCTGACATATTTATCCCACTGCAAATCAGGAAATGTGAATGCGCTAAAAATGATCACCAGGAGCGCACGTACAAGTCCAGCGTTCTCGAGAGAGGGAGTTCGAGCAGTACGGTTTAAACATTGCTAGCCAACGTAATGACTACCGTGCCCAGGCCTACCTGGACCGGTGTTATTTCTCTATAAGAATCACATTCTCAGTGAAGCATAGAGAAAACTAATCTGAGGCAAGTGAGTGTTGTCAATGATTCATCTAGGAGCCGATCTCAATCACATAAGATTTCCATATAAAGAAACGAATGGTGATTGGTTGTTCGGACGTAGGTTAGACAGCAAATAGTTCGCTGCTGTCTCTTTCATACAGACCCATTGGGATTATTCAAATCACACAGACGGAACCGATGTCAGTTTGATTGCTTTTCAGACAGGGTAAGTAGAGAGGTTGCAGAAACTACATTTGCGAGCAAAAGGGGGTGGAATATTCGGATCGTAATAGTCACTACTGCGGCGATAAATTCTAAATGTAGACATTTCGATTTGTTACTGAGAACTTGGTAAACCTTGTATGATTTGAACCAACTCCTAGATGAATCACTGAAAGCAGGAGTTTGCTAAGAAGTGATTTGCTCTGAGTAATTTCTATCAGGCGATCACCCTCTAAAAAGTAGGAAAAATATGATTAGACTGAAATGAAATTCATTTTAGTAAACAGTAGTCGCGAATTTGTTGGCACGGAAAACCGCACCTCTGGGACTGCAATTCGCCCCTTCAGAACACAAGATGCTGTCACAATTCTGTGTCGAACTGTCAGTACCAAAAAGCCATCAAGTGGTTCACCAGCTATTTAGAAAACCTTGCTTTCTCTAACGGACACAGAAAACGGAGCAACAGCAATCAGGCAGATGTGGAATTTCAGAAACAATCACCGATGGGGACAATGAGATATCAAGCAATCGGTCAACGGTAGGTTGCGCAAAATCTCAGTATGATCACAATTACTGAGAGTAGACTTATCATGTTTTAAAAAGTGTAAGAAGCGGCTCAGATCAGATTGCTAGGATTGGCGAAGCGTAATTTATGTCTGATAGGGATACTGAGTTGATCATGCTGACTGTCACCAGTAGTATTTGAAGGTATACCTATGTCACGCCGTTAGACCAATCTGCTAAACACTAACAAGGTGGAGGTTAAAGCGGAGCATTGTTATTAATGAAATATCGCCTTGTGCCATTCACAATGGTAGTTCTGGCGTGTTTTGGAACATTTTCAACACTTTGTTTCTTTAAAATATCGGCTGAGTCATATGGACTGTTCTACATTGCCAAAACTTGGATAGTAGAAAAATTGCGTTCCGTTGAGTGTAGACCTAAATTCAGATAAGTTTCCAAGAGTGTCGGTCCGTGGACTTAAGGATCACAAGGTTGCCTTGTAATCCTGAGTACCCGAGTTGGAACCGGCGACCCTCGCAGTATCCTTAGCCCACGCGGGACTGGTGGTGGTCGCGCGGTAGCGAGGCACCGGTACTCCGCACCGGTCCACTGTTGATGCCTCGGCTCCAAGAGCAGTGAACAGCTGATTGATTGCTATTTCTCCCCAACAATGTGAGACTGTTTCTTACTAAAATCAGTAACGTGGTTGATACACAGCTGAGTAAGCACATCAGCACGGGTAACACGGTGACTTTCAGTGGCATTGTCACGACGTGGAAGAGGGAACTGGCCAAGGTCCTATAAAGGCACATTGCCTAATAAATCCAAACTTTGCACGTGAATTGCATCATTCAGGTTGACAGATGTTTTCACATAGGCAACAGCCTCGATGAATTGCCACTCGCTTTAAAGTAAGCTGAAGAATCTAAATGGCTTCCTGTCTGTCGCCTTAGGGAACGTCTACTTTTCGATACCGATACAGTCTCATCGGGGTTGATCGTGTTTGCGGACCGGCTGTCCTCGGTATAACTGCAAAAACTAGGATACCCTGTCTGTACGGTTGCTACTGACCTCGGTAAGTGACAGCATGAATTAGGACATTCAGTTGGATCTCATTGATAGCCTTCCTTACCGGATTCTACGTACAGTTGAAGTTCGTTTTAGGTTTGTTGTATGATCGTTCGGGCTACTAAGCGTACAGGATGATAATAATAGCCTGAGTATCGATGTTCGCCTCAGAAAGCAAATCGAAGTAGAAATGGGGTGACTACAGTTAGAATAACACTAAATTTTAGACTCTAGCCCCCGCCGATTCGAAGCTCCGTGAAGGGCTTTCTCTTATTCACAATGTCTTGGAATCTTTCGTTACTTTGGGTTTTGGTGGTGGAACAGCAGTAATTTATCACCTCCGCTCTGTAGCGATTGATAACGATGGCGATGACGTCTGTTCGGTGGTTGTAAGCCGGCCGAATCCAGACGGAGACATGTGCACCAAGTGACAGAAACCTCCAAGACTAGCTTCAAGCTGCAATGAGACAACGCCGGAACGAGCCAATCTGAACCGGAGTCAGCAGGATTGAAAAATAGTTTTAATAACAGACCTCATTGAAATGACTGAATTAATTGCAGAGATAACCCCACACTTAGTAAAAAATAATATTCTTTTAAGCCATTTTGTAAAGATATGAAGTGACAGACACAATAGAACAATAATTTAGGACTTACAGGGTTGATTCTTGAACGACTCGTTATCCTGGTAGTCACGGTAATCGTAGGACCCACAACATTGGTGCTGAGAAGAGATGAAAATAGATATTCTGGCAGTTAGTGGGGCAGAAACAGATGAAGTGGTTAGTTTTTGGAAACGACTTCATCCGAGCGCTTGTCAGACACGACAAGCCAACTATCAAGTGATCAGACCACATAGTTGGACTGCACCTCGGATCGTCGAGGAACATAACATAGATTTATTTAAGTGCTTATATGGCGAAACCATCACAGTGAAATTGGATCTCGACGTGGTTTGTGTACCGACGTGATTGATCGAGCTATGCTTGGTAGCAAGTACTTTCAGAGCCACCCATGCCAAAGAGGCCAATGGTTAGAGGTTAGATGAATTGGTTCTTAGAATGACTCACATCGGAAGTTAGGAATGTCGATGACCATGTTATTTCATGTCTCAGTCAATGGAGCAATAAGCTACGGGTTTTAAGCTACCAGCTAGATTGGCGTGGAGCATGGGTGACACGCAATACACGTTTGGTACCCATGACTGAGGAGAGATCTCACCACCCTGGAGATATCTTAACACCGGGCAACCAAGAATATCAAAGACTTGTGTCTTTTGACGCATGAACAAAGGCGATGAGTGCTCAGGGTCTTCAGCGGACAACAGCGGTGATTGCGTGGGCACCTTATTTTAACAGCAGAGTTTGAGGAATCCCAAGCGTACGTGACGCCATTTGCTCTCCGACGCTGGTAGAGTCCAAATCCCGAGTTCACTGTGCACTCATTTCGCTGCGCCATCTCACGTGACTCATTGTCCATGGCCAAACACGACTGTCTGTTAAAGACTTTACCGACGGTCAGCTCCCAAAATACGTTCCACCTTTTTCACCTCCTGTATGTGTTCACCAAGAAGCGGCACGATTCTTACCAACGTTCCATTGGTTTATGGACTTACAAGGGATTTACAGTTTATGATACGTACACCGCGGTGAGTCAACTGGTGTGAACTTTTGGGGACACTTATTCCATATTTTGCAATAATTACCATGACCATCATACGGGACCTGTTAACCTTTAGGTTTTCCCATATATAAAGTCACTGTTTCATTGACAGTGGGAAAGTGGCACCATTGCCCAATGATTTGCTACCGACTACCAGGTAGTTTTCCGCCGAAAACGTGTAGACCCACATGTTGCCCATGGTCACAGACGTATAATCTACAACGGTCGAAAAATCCATGTGAGTCGTTCTAAACTGTGCAAAGCTGCGTGTAAAAACCTTCAGACAATACCTAAGTGGACTCAGCAGACACTCATGAGCTAGACTTGCGCTTTACCGCCTTCTGCGTTAGCTCATTGGATGGAGCTTTTCAAGCAGACATTCACCGACCCTATAGCCCTTGGGATCATTGCACTGAGTCAGAAGCTAGAGTCAGGAAACAACTTGAACAAACGCATTTCTTGAAAGAAGAAGCCAGAAGATGTGTCCACCTACGAGATACCGCAACATTAATATTCTCTCTTGCTTCCTTTCCTTTTCACAAAGCCTCTTTTTGTGCCCAACAGCAAGAGTCTACCGCCGACCTAATAAGCCGTACTGACAAGAAACCACGTCATTTTCCCAACCTAGAGCAACGTTACACATTGGGCCTTTCAATGTTTACATACTGTAATATGGACCAACAAGTGCCATGCACTATGACCTTACGCTCTCTGGGAGTTGATGCATACTGTGTCGCTGAAATAGGCGCGCAAGACCACTGCGTACTACTTCATCCGCGCTTACACAGGGCTCGGGCTCAAGTGATATGGCTTAATAGCTTCGCCGCTCCGAGGATGTTGAATCTACGGTTGGCGGTAGTTAGTGTCGGAATCGCTCCCGAATGCGAGGAGCCTCCTTCTACAGCACATATCCCGGAGAACAATCGAATGTGTCTATACTTCAAAACTACATCGAAGTCAATATCTGCCACAGCCAATGTGCATTTTTGGTTTTAGATTAATCTCCCAATGACTGAAGCTCATAAGTCATCAAAGATGAACCATACACACAGTTTTCTCTTTTATCTGAACGGCCAAAAGCACGGACACCATGAGCGTTGCAAATGGCACGAATGCTCAGTTTGGTCACCTATCTAAGTCAGGATGTCACGTAGGAGGCCGTATAGAGGTCGGTGCTTACCGAACGGACAATGGCGACCGCTTTCTTCAACAATTCACCAATCACAACCGCTCTATTAGCCGCACAATTTTTCAGCACAAGCTTTCGAATTGTTATATGGTGGCGACTGGCCGACATGCTGCTCTGCAGTGAAATGCAAAATAGCGCCATCAACTATAGGTGGTGCGCCTCAGTGCAAGATTGGAGGTCGATTGGGGCACCTGCTTCGTGTAGGCGCATCTAAAATAACTCAGGCTTAATGACCGATTATGTCCGTGAGCTTCCCGATAATTCGTGTCGGTTGATTGGCCGAAGTGTAGGTTCGATCGTGTCCACTCTTACCCAGGCTCATGAATAGCGACTTCCCCGCGGTTCATCGGAGGGTTGATCACTGCAGACCACATAGAGAGGTGGCCAAGGTCACACTGAAGCAGGTCACAGCCATGGTTTGCGCCTATTTCCACACCTATAGGTCATGTGCAAATAACGCACAATGCGAACGGAGAAGCTGAGGAACATCCGTTACACGGTTCGGGAACAAAATGGGCCCCAATACCGTACCTTGGAACACGCTGACTCATGTAGTTCTTCAATACCTAAGAAAACCATGGGGAAGATGAGGTCAGTGTTACTGTGTGAATCAGGAATCTGGCCAGTGAGCACTGGGGAGACTGGCCATGTCTGACTAATGCTTGCGCCGCACAGCTCATGTTTGATGGGAGGACCGAAAGAGCGCCATCAAGGTTTTTCAAATGGTGTCTGATAAGGGACCGTTTGGTACCTGATTGCAGTGCGTGGTGAACTCTATGCGTTTGCGGTAGATCGGTCATATGCTCCGCATTCACGCAATTATGCTATCTCGGAGTGTTTGAAAACACTGTGCTTGAGATCAGCCGCTTCGGATACGGCGCTGTCATGGAGTCAGTGATGCCTCTGCATCCGTTCCCTTGTTCCCACTAGCGACTTTATTGTTTGCTTGTTCATCTTAACTTGCAGTTATTATATTATTATTATTATTATTATTATTATTATTATTATTATTATTATTATTATTATTATTATTGAAATCTGAGTCACAGCATCTCAAGGTAAGAATCCCAGCTTGCAAACCGAACTACTGTTGTAAGTAAAATTCGACGTTTCATACCAAATTCAGGAAAAACGTGTTAATTTCTAAACAGTCAAGCCCATCGACCTACAGCACACCCAGCTCTACATAGCCTGGGTGATGCGCTATAGCGCTGCGTGCAGGACAGAATTTGAAAGGTCAATCAATAGCGTTGTGGCAAAATCGTTTCTCAACTTGAATCCGTATTGTAAAGCCAAAAATGAAAGCAGGGGGCGATTATTCACGGGTAACAACTGTAGCGAAACGACGGTACGGAAAAAGGAGAAGCGGTTGAGCAAACTTACGTCCTTTTGGATTGCAGACATGAGTACGGTCAGTGGGGCGTTCGGTGGCCGTTCATTGTCCACAACATAGTGTTTGACGATAATGTCCCGGAATGCCAGCTGTGTCTGAGCCTTAAACTGCAACATGAGTGGAGAGATATAAAGGGATAGGAGGGAACACATTGTAGCATCAGCCACAATCAGTCACAACAGGTTGACTGCATTCAATGGGACACTCCACAGGCTCATTAAAGACTATCCGGCTATCCTGCACTTGTCCAGATATGTGGTATCAGGTCAGATGTAGGTACGACAGGATAGTCCCCACATATCCGGTAAGGCATTAGACGCCACTTTTGTCGAGTGGCCGTCCAAGAATCAAATACAAAGTCTGCGTCAAGATCAAAGTATGCCATACATGGACTGAGAGCTATTTTATACCGTACACAGAGTTAAATCAGTAGGTTATTGTAGCGCTTTTCCAGTCATCACCCCGCCCTGTGACGGTTAGCTCAGAGTCACTGGCGCGCGTACGTAAGGTCGGTGCTGGGTTACTGAAGCCCACCTGCCCTATCTGTCAACTATTAGCACACGTGCCAAGAGCTTGGAAACCGCCAGGTATTCAATTTAACAGTCTGCTGGTGAGCTCGAATCAATGGCCCAACTATTGAAGACATGGATTTAAGCCTCGAGGTTGCAGTGAATGCCGGTAGCCGACATGAACAGGTGACAGGCGGTGAGGCGGCACGGCTCAGCACAGCGTTCCAAACAATGGCTGTTGGGCTGAGTATAGGTATGACAATTCTCACGTGAATCGTATTGTATTCGGTTGTTGAAACCATCTTATCGAGCTTCAACCATGCAAGCACACTTTTGCCTACGACTGTTGACTCGCGCTGTCACTGAACACTTGGACCACATCGTCCCTGTTACCACCATTTTCCGTATAGATCCTGTTTGAACGCACTGATCACTAACTGCGACGATATTGACGTGGATATTAAGATAAATAGAAATCTGTGACATTGTATCTAGTGGATCCTAATCGGCTTGCACAGTGGAGACGCTTAAAACGGAAAATAAAATGTCGCACGAAGCTGTTTGGACGTACAGCTATTCGACATTGTACACATTGGAACTAAAACAGTGAAAATGTGTTTCCAGCGAACATTATCGTGGAAGCGAGCGCAATGCAGGTAGTTTAGTTAATTCCCATGATATTTTGAGCGGAACTTCATAAACATGTGGAGTATATCGATGATATTCTTTAGTACAGAATACGGAGCTGTTTCTGACCAGAGATTTAGTGGAGTGGTCCAATAGGATAGACGTACACTGCACGGCTTTGCAGCAAACGACCGATTTTTCTAACTGCGAATTAACTTGGAAGAAGAAAAAAACGAGTTCCGGTAAGTTAGGGTTAAGCACAACAGAGGTTTTCACTGGACTAGAATGACTTCATGCATGGCAGCTAAAAACTAGATGTGAAATTCGAAAATAATATTCAACACAAGTCCTACAAACAGACAGAATCTGTTCACAACTAGACTTGTACTTTTAAATCACATCAGGATAAACATTGAGGATATATGAATTCCATGGAGTTGTGGTCTGTGTATAGCATTAGATATAATAAAGAGAATAGATATATTTCTCAAAAATGACGGAAACTGCAGTAACAATTGGTACAACTCATGGTTGTACATGCGGCGTCATGCTTTTGCGCAGGTAACATACAACTGTGTGAGTATACCTGGGTGTTCTGGTACAGTATATGCTTCACGGTATATGGGTGGTAGTGCTGAGCACTATGCGGTGGTTTACCGATTGAAGTCCTAATCATTGCATAAACAGTGCAGTTAGTGAGTGTAGCGTTTCGGTGTTGTTTGGTCCCTTCCCTGCACTGCACAACTTACGGTTTCGTCCTGGTTTGAACTCATCAGGTGGAGATACCGGGAGCTGGGAGTAGAACTCGGTATATAATAGTTGGCGACTATTGCCAAGAGTGCAGTAGTTGTCAATGTAGTTACTTGCATGTGCAGTCATCAGTAGACTGCTCAAACCCTCATAGCTCAAGGTTCATTATGAAATGGCTTGACAAGTTAGAAAGTGAACACAGTCTGCAGCATGATCTGTTTAATTCGGAATACTATTCCTGCCCTTCGACTAAAGCGGTGTAGTCATGAATACCATGCGTGGATGGGCAAACAAGACGGCACCATAAATGATATCACACGACCAGGATGGGAAATAATGCGTAATAGCCCACAGTACTAAAAGCATACATTTTCCCTGTATGCGGGCTAGTGACAACCACCGGATAACGTTGCCTTTCAAAAACAGCATGAATACCATCTCATCGACTTGACCGGGTGACAGAGTCGCCGCACAACGCAGCCGACACATGTTCGGCCAGTTTGATAGCCTTAGTCCTCATTGCACACGAAACTCATGTATGTATGTCTGGTGGTGTTGACGCGCGTCACACATACATAACTTCGAACGTGAACTTTTTGCACTATGTACGTGACCGAGGGCAGTCATCGAGATGTTGGAACCTAGTAGCCCATAACGACGAAACTACGCAAAATCGAATTACATCGCACGAATTGTATATCAATAACACTAATTCAAGTCATAAGCCTACGCTGCACGCGCGGTATCGACAGAAAACGGCCGCGGTAGATTTTGTACTATAATCATGTAACCGTGATTATAAAGGGTAGTAGTACTCACGACTGGGTTTGGAACGTGAGGGAAGCGGGCGGAAACAGATAACTATTACAATAATCTTAGTATCAGATTGATGCAAATGTAGCCTTGAGACATAAAGTGTATGCAGATGCAGTGCATGCAAAATGATACCCGTTTGACCACGTAGTGCGCTAAAGCGCGGAAAGCGTGTTATTCGTTCCGAAACGTGGATTTGGGTTGAAATAATCCATCTGGTGCAGGAAAGCAAGGTTCGTTTGTACTTTACACGGCCTATGACCACATTTTTGTGTTGGCCGCAATAACAACGAATGAAGTCAGATATTTGGATTCATTTAGGTGGAACTAGGAATTCAACCGCGTGAACCTAGGCCAGGCTGTATTTGTCTGATGAGTACAAACTAGCAGGCTGTTCAACAGAGTGCCCAAATGAACGTGATGGTGATGAGGATCGGCGCGAGAGCATTAGATCCGGGTGAGACTGATTTTGTCATTAAGATCGAGTGACCAAGGTGCAAGAGTCGAGAATCTCTGCCCAAACATTTCCGTTCGCTGAGGCGACGCCGCTTCTGCTGCCTACGTTTTCGACGAGGCCGACGTCCCTCTCCACTGCAGTACACATCTAAGAGACTCGATCACTTACCCAAGCCGAGCGAGTTCCAAACACAATAGTGACGATCAGCAGTGCCGAGAAGATGATGAGAAGCAAAGCTGCATACTGAAATGAAAGAAACATTGCGCAGTTAGCTGCCAAGTTGAACGATGCGAGTGGCGCAAGAGGAGCCAGTAATAAGCAACAAGTATTATCTAAAGACTTCATCATTCGTATACACATAGGGAGACCCATTATACAACGGTGTCGTTAAGACGAGGGTAACCGCACTCAACCAAGCTTGAGGATGTACATCGGGTGCTTAAAGTCGACCATCAATGAGTCGTCAACCGGGGGAGACGGGTGTTACCCACGCTTCGATGGCAAATGAACAATTAACAATGGTTTGTAACGGGCAAAAAAGCGCTTGACTGACAACTTCCGTAGCAAGACGGGAGTGAGCATACTAAAATAGAGATTTAAAATGACAGGAAAGAGGGAAATTCCTGGTCTAAGGTGACTCATCAAGTCATTCACATTAACACATGTTGGTCTCCTCCCTGCTACGCAGCGAAAAGCACTAGTTAGCACACTGTTTGTTTCGTGTTATTTCGTTTAGCGATGGAAACAAACTGTGTGTCATATAATGTAAAGGAGATAAAGTGTAGCCCAGTAGTTTTTAAAGGAGTTGATGTAGTGGCAACGATGACGTGAGTTGGAAGGGCGTTCCATGTTCGAGATTCCCTACGAGAGAAAACGTTTTATTGGCCATCGGGTCGACTGTAGTGCGTGGCCAGTCTCAGTTGGTGGACTCTCAGGTTGATATTGTGCATGACTTGCAACAGATCGAGACAGGCGTGATTGGGGTTAGCCATTATTTGTTACATCATGATAAGGTCTCCTCGCAGGCGCCGATAGTTATAGATATAAAACCAAGGGCTTGCAGTTTACATTGGTAGGGGAGGGGAAACAGTCCCACAACGATTTTCGCCGCCTTATGTCGTGGACCTTTAACCACACTAATATCGTATTTGTGCCAGCACTACTATGTTTGGACTGTGCATTCTACATAACGCCTCACCTAGGCGTTCAAGATTTGTGGAAAGGTTGATGACTCGAACCTACAGAATGCCAAGGTGCTGGCTGACTTTTCGATGTGTTTTCAGCTTGTTTCGGGCAACCAATGTCATCCTGCACGCTTATCCCAAGGTCGCTTTCCTGGGAAATATGCTGCGACTGCATTTCTCCTAGTTGATATTCAGGAGTACACTGAGGGCGTATGCTCAAAACTTTGCATTTCTCAAGTTAAACTGGATCCGGTTTTCGGAAACAGCAATGGGACAATGGTGTATAACGGGTAAAGAAGCAATGTCTCATAAGTCCTGTGGGATGAAAATTACTGAGAAAAATGCATCATTAAGTCAAAAATGTTTTGCTAGACCCACCATAGATCTGCGTAGAAGAGTCAAAATGTTAGCGGGATAAAAGTATAAATCCATTGGTTGGAATTTAGAAACACACCATTTGGTTGCGTTATGTAGCCCCTGGCTAACACAATTTGTAAAAGGAAATGGGAATGCGGTTATGCTTTGTTAACTTAGTGGCAGAGACGACATAAGTTAGGAGGGAGTTTCACGACTGACGCACTCGAAGGGAGAACAAATTTCTGCGACATTCCAGTCGGCTATACTGTATTATTACATTCACAGGATGAACTCTTATGTTGGTATTTTGGTTCAGTTCCAGCAGCGGGTGGTAAATGTGTTTTGGGTTTTTCTGATTCTGGTAAACCATGACGAGGTACCCCCACAAACGTCAATACTGACTGCTATATATGCCTAGGAACTTCAAACTAAACTGGTAGGGCAGATGGAAGAGGCCTTTAATGTTCTTGATTTTAATTTACTGGGAAGTCTCGAGAACAATGAGATACTGATTCTCCCACAGGTGCTACGCCTGGATGACGTATACCACGTGCGATCGCAGGTACCCTTTGAGCATTTTTAGGACGACTGAGGGGTCAAACCAACCGAACGCACTACGAAGAAGTCCAAAGTGTTGATTGCCGTTTTTCGACGCCTGATCTGCCTGTTTGAGCATCCGAGATCGTCCTGTACAAGTGCACCCAGGTAACGTTCCTGAGACGCCTACCTCAAGGTGTGGTCTCCAAGCTTGTAAATTATCACCACAGGTGGATCACCTAACAGTAAGCTGTGTTGAACAGCAATAGGTTCCTTGTTAAACACTCATGAACGTAATCCAGGTCATGTTGAAGGAAATCGTAATCTTCCTTGCTATTAATCGCTCGGCGTCTTTTAACTTCATCGGCGAAAAACGAAAAATTGGAGGAGATAACTCTTGCCAGGTCGTTGATAACAACAAGAAGAAGCATAGTCCTGACACCGAGCGCTGTGGAACACCGTATTCACGTCAATCGGCTTGGAGAGCGACCTCTTAACACGCACTTAAAGCCTCCGTTGGTGAAGAAAGTTGGCAATGCAACCAAGAACAGGGTCATCAATTCCGTAGCTTCGATGAGTCTGTAGGAGAATGTGGCGGCCCGGGTGGTGGAGCGCTTTTGAGAATTCCAAGTAAACTACATCGGTCCCTACCCTGACATCGACTGACTCTGTGTAGCTTGTTCGACTTCAGTCAGCCAGCAGTCTTTATGCTTCGAGTTCGAGTCGCAGTTATGCAAACGCTGTCTGACGGGTGCAACGAAGCATGAAACCAGTGCCGGGGTGAAGTGTTGTGCGCAGACAATATTGAGGGCTCGTCTGGTCCAGACACGCCTTGAGTGACCAACTTGACCCAGATTAAAAGTTAAGGGCTTGGAGTATCTACCGTGCTGTTGACTTGCGACAAGCAATGCAACCACACGGCGGGTACTTCAAACCCAACTTTGAAGGTTATTACCTTTCGATAGTCCATCCAACACACACTCTCAATACTGTGATGTCATTGGCACAACGCACACAGTTCGAGGTTATGAGACGTTATATCGTTGCTATAAATCAGGGACAACCGTGGCCCAATACCGCTCCCCGTGGTACTCTGCATTTGACTTGGACGGGATCTGACAGCAATCCAGGCATTCCTACCTTCAAGAGTTGGTAGAGGAGAAAACTTCTGATCAACCTTTGGGAAGGATCACCAATACCAAAGGTCTGGAGTGATGAATGCCATGCTTTTGAGAAATCGAGATAAACTACACAGATTTCGGTGCCAGTGTCTACCGTTTCAATATAGCTGGATCGTGACGGTAGTCGATCACAATTTCATCGGATCCCATGCTGTTCCAGTGCAAAGTGGACAAATTCTTTCTACACCATTTTACACTCATGTTAGCGCATTGTACCGAGCTTTTAGCGTGGCACATTTTCGAAATCGCGTGCAGTGCTTTCAAGTTCTCGTCTCGTCTCATCAATTCGCAGCCAAAGGAGAACGATGATCGTGTGATCGAAGCCATCAAGTTCGAGTCAAAAGTCCAGCGAATCCTGATCAATAATGTAAGATCACCAGTGACACCTGACACTATTCGCGCGGAGACTTCCCGAGACAAAACCCTAGAGAAAGTGATGTATTACCTGCAAACAGGTTGGCCAAAATGTGGTATCCCTGTTGACTTGCGGACTTTTTTAACCGATGTGGGTCACTGTCCGTTATGGACAATTGTTTGATGTTTGGAGATCGGGTGTTGTTGCCAAAGAAATTGAACAGGCAAGTCTTACAGCAGTTTCATACCGGGCATCCAAGTACTAAGGGTATGCAAGCTTTGGCACACAGTTTTCTTTGTTGGCCCGGAATGGATTCAGAAATCGAACAATTCTGTCAAAAAGTGAATCCTGTCAACTGTCGGCGAAGGCCGTTCCCAAGTGCCCCTGGCAACCTTGACCCAAAGCGGAGAAGCCATGGCAGCGAATCCACTTAGATTATACAGGACCAATCACCGATAAATCCTATCTTGTTTTCGTGGACTCTCCAAGAGGTCCGATGTGAACCCGATGCAAAGTCCGACTGCCCAACACACGATCAACGAACTGGATAAGCTGTTCCAGTATTTCGGCCAGCCAGAGATAGTAGTGACATACAACGGTACATCATTCACTTCGACTTCCTTACGCGAGTAGTGCGTGGAGAAAGGAATGCAGCAGATGTAAAATAATAATAATAATAATAACGTGTCAGCTGTACGCCGTAACGGCGCTTCGCTGCCGCGCGACCACCACCAGTCGCGCGCGGGCTGAGTATACCGCGAGGACGCCCACCCCTTCAGCAGATGTTCTCACCATCCTATAATCTGCAATCAAACGGACAGGTGGAACAGTTCGTGGATACTTTCAAACGTGCTGTTTGGATTACGGGACAAAACGAGGTCGCAAAGGACGCGATCCAATCTTTCCTGTTCATGTATCGGAATGCGCCAAACCCAAACGCTCCAGATGGAAGAGCCCCTGCTGAAAATTTTACTTGGACGTAAGATCCGGACATTGTTCGATAACTTTGCGCCAAGCAGAAAAGAAGGGCATTGTAATTGTCCAGTAGCGGAAAATCTGACAGAGAGGCTCCGGAATTTCAAAATTGCTGACATGGTGTTCGCGCGAGACTTCCGAGGACAGAGGAGGTGGTCAACAGGAAGAGTGATCCGCAGAAAGGGTCGAGTCATTTACGAGCTAATGGTAGGAAATGAGAAATGGGTCAGGCATGCCAATCAGCTGAGGCCGAATGACGGCAAGATTCAAATTGTCCCTGAACCACCATCCTTATCGTGAGATATCATGCTAGACACGTTTGGTTTTGAAGAGGAAGCTGAGCGGCTACGTGGATCACAACAGAACCTGCAAACATCAGATGATACACAACGCAGGCCGAACCGAAAGCGGAGACGACCACAATGGCTACAAGTTGTCCTTAAGGCGAAAAGCTATGTACAAATTCGAGTTAGAAAATTACGCAAACAGAGTCAATTCGAAAAGGGAGGTAATTTGAGACCGCAGCTTAAGGATGTGACAAGGTTTCGGGACTCCTATCAACGGGACACGGGTTGCTACCCGAACTGCGGTGCCACGGCAAGTCACGCGGGAAGCTGATGAACTCATACCGTTAGCATGAGACAGGTTTCTACGGGAGATGATAGATTGTGACTTATAAAATGAACCATGATCTGTGTCTGATGTACTTCGATCTAGCAAGTTTCGGTGTTCTGTTCTGCCCCCGGCTGGGATGGCGTGGCAGAGAGCAGAGGGAAGCAGCGTTACAACAGGTCCCAAGTCAGAGAATACCTAAAACTAACGACGACCAGATGACGATTCAGTGATTTCACTGTATGTTTGCTCATGGATCCCAGTTGCGTGGACGGATTGTGACACGTAGTATCAAGGTAGCTCACGATCCATCTAAACACAATGGGCACGATCGTGGGGCTGGTTGCTGTGGGACCAAAGCGGTCCGAGTGTGAAACCGAGTGTGAAACCAGTCGCGGAGTGCAGAGTGGAGAGCGGAAAACGACGACTGGCAGTTATTGGTGTCGTTATGCTTTGAAGTAAACTGATTATTTTTACTGGGAGATGTGTGGTAAAAACCCAGATGACATTCGGGGGATGCGACTGCGTCATGCCAATTGACTCAGTGAGGCATGAGACGGAAGCAAGGGTATTTTGAGCAACTAGAATACGAGGGTGTAAAGATTACAATAGTGGATGTGATGGGTTCACGCGGAAGTTGCCACGGTAAAGCTAACGCCTTGACAAACTGTTTATGCACTCACACACAACACACACACAATGGGGGGGGATTGTGGAGACGAATAGCGATCGCCTCTGCCAATGCAAGTACTCAACTTCTGATCACTTAGGAACAGACACCTAGTCCGCTGTTTGATCGGAACACCGACGAAAATATGCTCCGAGGACAGAAATGAAGCAGTGCGCGCCCTACTAAGAACTTGCTTCTTTAATAACGGCTATCCCAAGTCATTCGCTGACAGGAATACTTAAACTGTATGGTTGTCAAGGAACTCACAGTAAGAAACCTGTATACCACTACAGTCCAACCTACTATGGCGACCATCTGTCTATGGCGACCAGCCAAAAACATCCCCAAGTTTTTCTATAAGCAATGTTCCTATGCTTAAACCTGTCTAGGGCGACCACCTGTCCAAGGCGACCACATTTTGCCGGTCCCTTGAGTGGTCGCTCTATACCATTTCCAGGCCGAGTTGTCCTCTTGGGCAACAGAAATAATCTGAGGGGGCATTCAGCATGAGTCTACTCAATTAATTTGTTCCGTGCGTACGCCAGTCACTTGTGCAGGTGTGGAGGTGTGCGTGTATAGCCCGTCGCCTTCAGTTAATTGGACCTCAGACGCACTAAGTCATAGGGGTGCAAGTAGGGCGCTTCAGCTCCTACGCACGGAACAAATTAATTGAGTAAACTCATGTTGGTTGCCCACTCAGATTGTTTCTGTTGCCCAAGAGGACAACTTGGCCGGGAAATGGTGTAGACAGGTTTGACTGTAATTGTCATTTAAGGGAGACAACAGTTTCGAACACCTTAGCAGACGAGTACGAGCGGCTATGCTTAACACCTATGGAGCCGCACAGTTACGAATTACCTTTGTTGCCACGCCAATGCCACACCTCCAGCTTAAGAATAAACTGTCGGTGGATGTCACCTTCTGTAAGTATCAGTTTACCTGTTTTGTGCGATCAGTTACATAGGTCACATCATGAGACGTTTGTTTGAACGCGTCCGCGTGCACCACAACAATAGTCGCACATCTGGTCCATAGGAATCATCCCGTTATCATCTCTAAGGCCGTTCGCCCAATCTATCATGTGAGGGGTGTCTATTCCAAGCTTGTCAGATGTCAACTGCTTGCACTGACGGAGGCGATCGCGATTCGCCTTAACAACCCCCGTTGTGCATGTATAAACGGTTCATCAACGCTTTGGCTTTACCGTGATCAGCTGTTGTCCGGGCAGCTTCCACGTGAACAAATCACACCCATTATGGACATCTTGACACCCATTTCTAGTTATTCAATCAACACTTTCTTAACGGGTGTTTCGTCCATACGTACACTGCGTCAAATCAGTCATATGGATGAAATCTAATCGGGTGGCCACAGCACATGTGAACGATGGATAGATTAGAACGCAATGACAAAAAAGCGCTTACCGTGCCAAGTAGAAACTTGCTCTTGCAACACACCCCGAATATACCGCAGAAGGCGATAACAAAGAAGAATATTCCAAATATGAAAACGATGAGTCCATAACTGGCTGAAAGAAGGGAAAAAGACAAAGCGGGGACAGAATTGGGAGAATTACGTGTGCGCAAACTGCATGAACAGTCCAAATAATCACATGAATCGATGCACAAATCACGCCAGCACGTCAAATGAAGGGGCACAAAGTCGGCTTCGCAGTCATCACTCACCAATGTCATCAGCAGATGTTACATTGGATATAAACAAGCACCACGCGCCAGGGCGTCGCTAGGACATAAAAGTACACAGAGTCACAATCACGTAACACGAGTCTGACTGTGTTAGATGAAACCGTACAAGTACAGAAGCAGTACACGACAGAGGACGCTTACCCAAGAAGGAGAAAATCTCCAAAGCGATTGTATTGGCTGCTTCGCGGACGTTCTGATTCTCGATATCCCCCAGAATGATTGGCACGACCTGATCAACAAGTAGTTGCCTGTTCCATTGTATCAAACCCCCGACTACAAGTAGAACAAGGCTGATGGGCTAAAATAAAAAGTTGCAGTAAGATGGCGGGCTTTACAAACATGGCTGTCATTGTGACCACGCTTAAAATGCAGCTACACCACTGTAAATTGGGTATGTACATCGATAGTGATGAAAATATGCGGAGATATCGGAGAAGTGTTTCCAAATTGCTAGGCAATTAATAGTGTACTTTTGTGCTAGGATAACTCGGTAGACTTGAAATTATGCAGGCTAAGAAGATTGTCTATGTCAGAAGACCAGTAGATACACCAACTGATCAAGCAGAAAATGGTGATTGTTTATGATGAATGTGAAAACGCGGATTTAAGGAAAAGGGGGCTAGGTGTTTCACGCGCCATCCAGATGTCTCAGTACTTAAATCTGGAGGGTTAGCTTTCGGTGTAAAGAAATTGAGGCAAGAGTGTGGCGAGACTAACTGCCAGTCAGGTGTGTAGGGGAAAATTATATATACCAAGGTTCTGGTAAACCGTGATCGCTGGTTACCCATCTCTGATTTCGACAACGTTTTAGGCAAGTTTTGTCGGCCGGTGGCCGAGTGGTCTACACATTTGGTTTGCAACCATAAGGTCACCGGTTCGAATCCGCGTAGGGGTAGGTGTCCTCGCGGTATATTCAGCCTGCGCGCGACTAGTGGTGGTCGCGCGGCAGCGAAGCGCCGTTACGGCGTACAGCTGACATTATTATTATTATTATTATTATTATTATTATTATTAATTTAGGCACGTTTCACACTATGCTATTCGCAAGCAGATGGAAAGTTGAACAGAAGACGCGGGCGCTAGACAATACGCTTAGTTCACAAATTATGCGCATTCAGTCATTAGAAGCAGAATAATAGCGAAGAGCGTTCTTTTCGGTAATTCGTATCAAGTAAATACAAGAGTAGAACAGCATAACAATTTGGCGGAAGCTGGGGCAGATGAATGTAAAGATCGGATCTAGCGCATTCAAAGCAGCGAGATATTCGGTCTATGCTAAGCTTCTTGTCGGCACCACGCCTATCGACCACGTCCAGTGCGCGGATTACGGGGGACACTAATAAGCACTGGCGATTAAAGCATTCTGGATGAATTAGCCGACAATCAGTAAAGAGGTGGTGCACGATCGTGTTAGTTTACAAACACAATAAAGTTGCACCTATTGTTAAGCCCAGTGATTCGCTCATCACATTAATGGAACCGGATCACACGTTGAAAAAGTAGACATAGCTTTGTGAGTGACATTGCAACCGCAACTTCGAAACACCATCAAAGGTAGCTGTAGGTAATAACCACCCAATAATATAAACAACATTCATCGTCATTGGGGACGGAATAGGAATGGTTGATTATTTCTCACTTGAAATTAAAAACCAAAGACGCCGTTTAGAAGTAATATGACATTGAGGATAGCATGACGGCATGTTAAGATATCTCGGGTCCCCCGACGAACTAGACAACCTTGTGGATGTCGTAACTTGATAACTTCATGTTGCGCAGAGTGAAATATACACATACGTGAACGCAGCACATCGTAAGGGCCATTCATAGGAAGCGAGTACAACTGTAATCACAACTGCCGTAAGAAATTGTATCCGCATTACGCACGTTTAGACATGTTTGGCTCTGTGACAAACAAGACCCCTGTGTTAAGGACCGACATCGTTCTTTTGAAACTAAGTAGCCAGTTCATTCGGTTCAACATTCTGATGGGGAAAGACGTGCCGAGTTTTCCTCGCATCACCGACTGTATTGTTGCAAAAAAACTCACTCCACTATTACTTTTAAACGTGTTTTCACTGACCGAGGCTGTTGCGCACCGGTATCGGTTCCATGCGCGCATTTCACGGATGGTGCACAGTATCGCTCACCGAAGGTCGAGCAAGTTAGATTGTCAACAACAATGTGTCGTATAAACATCGAGAGTGCATCCCACGAAAGGACCAACATTCGCTATGAATGCCTACGTCAGAAGTAGAGTGAAGGTAAAAGATGATAACCCGAAGGAAATGGCAAACTACTAATCGCCATCGTCACCAGTATTGTTATGGACGTCGTGGTTAGTACTATCGTTATTTTTATTATATTATCAACCGCATCACTATTATCAACACTATTAGCAGTATATACACGTCTCTACTAGTATGAAATAAGAGATAAGGGGGACCTAATATAAAACGTTCAGGATTAGAGTACCAACATGTAGCCAGCATCAGGTAGTCACAAAAAATTGTTTACCGTTCAAAAGTAAGACCGCATTGACGAGACAACTTTCTTGTGGCCTATTTTTCTGCGCGTCATAGCCCACGGATAAGTCAGTACCATTTATAAATCAACTTGGTAGTTCGGCTAGGATACACACCACTGGGGCCGACCACAAGCCATCTTCATCTCTACCGTCCTACTATCTTACCGATATTACACATTAACTTATTTCTTAGACCATAGCCACGCTCTTAGTTGTGGTGCATTTCCTCTATATATTTACACCAAGAATCGCATAACTATTACACACTTTCCTAATCACTCTGTCTTTGGCATCTTCTACAATACTACGAGCCACTGAATAAATCCTGACTGCAGTGAATAGGACCTTATTTCTTTGTCTACTTATCCGTTTTCAACATTGCCTTTATCGTGCATAGTCACGCACGTCCTAACTATCCCCTTACAAATGAAGGCTGAAAGGAATGCAACTGAGCTCACCCAGTATCTCAACCATCCGGCAGCCCAAAACACAATTTGATTAGTTCAACTCCACTACGCTATGCCTTAAATCCCTACGATGTGAATACTGCCAATATTATTCTGACAAAGTAACTTGAGTTTGATGATCTACTGGAGTTGCCTTAATTTAGTCTTTTGCTTATTTTTGCAACTCTAACTTGCTACTCACAAATAACCGTCTTACATAAAATTGTGTATTACTCATCTGATTTTGATTGGTGAATCTAACTGTTTCATCCTTTTCATACTCCTTTCCCTCCGCATCAAACCACTGCCATCGTGGCACCACCAAGCTGCACCGAAAACAACCAAATGAGAATGCCCGCGAACTGGTAGCATAAGGCGACAAAAATCCCAAATGAAAATATTCGCAAAAACATCGCTAATGTAACCCTGTAAAAACCCAAACAATTGACAGCCTCGTATGCCTGAACATGTTGTAATGTAAATATGATCCGTCCTTTTGTGAGCTGCCTTTCTCGATACCATAAGAAGCACACCTTAAAATAATAATTATTATTATATCATATAAGGTTATGATGCAAGTATGGGATGGGCAGCGTGGACCTTAGTTTTTAAAACGAGAAGGGCATATAAGACTTAAGTTTGGTCACAATGACTTCACTTTCTGCTGCCAGATCAACGGTTGAGTCTTTCGGGTCTTACAGCGTGGTAAATCAGGGTGAGAAAAACAAACTTTCCACGATGGTCGGCGAGCAGGAAGACGAAGCAAGTGCCCAACTCAACGCTGCTCATCTAATATTATTTGTTGATTTGGAGGTAAAACATGCCCATAAGTGCCTAGTACAATTCTCGTGCGATGCTCCGGAAACAACGACGGCAAAAGACCTGAGGGCGCATGAGATCTTTAGACCAAAGGAGACAATTTTCACCGCCGTAAAGAAGGGTCTCACTGTGACCCTATGTGTCTGACCTCTGAGATCAGTAATAGTCGAGTTTAGCATCAGACACGATCTGAAATTATGGGCTCAGCTTTAGATTGTGCAATATGTGAGCCAATTCCGCTAATTATCAGGGTGCATTTAAGCCATGGGATAAAGTAAGGTAGACAAATTTATTTATTTGTTAAAATCGTTCCAGAGTGGCGGTGGGTGAATCCTGAGGCCTAAGTGCGATGTTGAAATGGCTGATCGGTTGTAACGGCGCAATGGGATTCAAGCGACCGCTATGAAATACAGGGTACACGCTGTATCTGTTCGATGGATTGGTGACCCCGAACGAGAGTGAAGCGATCATCTACAATGGCTGAGACGGGTTGAGGCAACTGGTGACAACACGGGCACAGCAGTACTCTTTATGGTGTTCCGCCGTGGTAAAACCGTAAATTAAAGAAAGTGATCGCACTAGCGATTACTAAAAAACGAGGTAGAGGACGCAACCGTTCCAAGCAAACATTTAAGGTATCCACCCCTTAATAAAGCCGTTCTGATACTCAGATAGCCAATGAAGTGATATCGTTCTTGCGGGTGAGTAGACAGAAAAGTGCCGGACAACAATGGGCAAATGTGATATACAGGGTACTGGGGCAGCCACAACGCCTCTTGAAAGAGAAAGAGGATAACCCAGGCCACTAGCACACCTAAATGAGCAACCTCGAGCGACACAGCCATCAGATTAGCAAGTGTCGTCGGTGTGAATTAGACCAGTGAGCTTAACGCAGCCAGCTGCTTGCCAGTTGGCAACAGACTGAACAGCTGGTCAAAGCAAGTCCAACTGTTATCAGCTGCAGTGAGTGATTACCTCAAGGGGCTAGGAACGACAGACGTAGCGGACGAGTGGCCAGTGACGTGTGTGGCCGTGCACAGGTGCACACATTGATCAACAGCAGCGTTTGGCAAGCCACTCTACCCACTCTACTCAGACGCACACGTGTGTGGCAGTGCCTCGAAGACTAAATAGTTCCACACAGCGAAACAAAACTTGCCAAAGGATTTCCTGTCTTCACAAAATCCCACTGAACTGAAGGTAGCATGGCTACCTGAGACACGCCGACTTATCTGGTCGATAGGCTCAAATCGAGATAGGCCATTCGATGCCAATGGTTTTCTTGCCGATAATTTTGTTTGCCAATATGCCAAAAGGTTGCTCCATCTGGGCTGGTCGCAGTTTTCTATTCGATGTGACTGTTACCTGCATAGGCCCATTGATCGTGCTGCCTGTGCGTTGGGCATAACACTAGCGCTTATCCGGATTACATGTCACACACACACACACACACACACACACACACACACACAATGTACACTGCTAAAGCCGCTGCAACAAGAGTTG